GTTGGAGCTGAACAGCTGGATCTCTCTGCATTCCTAGCCTCTAACCCTTTGATCTCTTCCAAATGCAGCAGTGTGCCACTTGTATCCAGATCACTATTTCGGGATTCTATTGATCTTCCGCATACAGGGAGCTAGATTCATCCCAGGTGTAACTCCATGACTGACACAGGATCCAGCTCCCCACCTATTGTAGGGCTACTGTTTTTAGTGTGGCTTCTTTTTTTTCCTCCTTTAATAGCCAACATTTCTTCTCGCTCTACTAATGCAATTTCACCTCTGTATTCCCCCTCTTAGATTCAAATTAGCTGGTAAATTAGGGTACATCTACATAGTAGCATGTAGCTTGAAATAAACTATGCAATTTGAGCTATGCAAATTGTGTAGTTTATTGTGAGAGAGGCTGTCTAAACAGTGCTAATTTTGAAACAGAGCACTATTCTGACAAGTTCCTTAATCCTTGTGCAACAAGGTTTATGGGACGTTGGAATAACGAGTCTATCTTGAATGTATTTCAGAATAACGGGTTTGCTGTTAATGCGCAGAATGCTATTTCGGGATAATGGACATTATCCCAAAATAGCGCTTCTGTACAGATGTACCCTAACAGAATATGACCTGAGAACAAATAAACCAAGTTGTAAAATTCTAACTGAATTAACATCACCTGCAACTTCTTTACCATCAAATAAGTAACTTCCCTCAGCATTGTGGTGAGGGGTGAGCTCTTCATAAGTCACTTTTGCACATACTTGGACACACTAATTGGAGGACAACACCACAAAGTTACTTTGACAGCACATGAGTTGGGATTTGGGACGGATGACCCTATTGTGACTGGATTCAAAATTTACTGTCTTGAGCTTTTTTGGGAACACAGGACAAGATGCTCTGCTTAAAACTTCCTACCCGGAAGGGATCTGTGGATACTCAGTGAGAGGAGAGATGCAGTAGAAATGCTCTGAGGCCCCTTTTCTTCACTCAAGAGTTGAATAGTTGTGGATTTCAGAATACAGTTTTTAATCTGCCCCTGGCTTCATACTGGGTTTGTCTGTCCCTGTCTTTGCAGGGCTGAGTGTGGCTACTTCTAGAGCATCTGACATGACCCATGTTTGAGTATCACTAGACATCCTTCCACAATCCACTAATCCCGGGGCTTGGAACCCCAACACCGAGTTCTCTGCGCCTCGTTCCTCGTTACCATGTGTCCCTTTAGACCACTGAACTCCAGGAGTTAATTTCTTGCCTGTACAACCAGGTTGTCCATCCCAATCCCATACTTTTTAACAAAGGACCTTTTTTTTTTTGCAGTAACACTAAATGAGCACTTCTGCAGCGTAAAGTGTTTATATTGTGACATTTTGACACTACATATTGTATGAACCACCTTGACATCTAATACAAGCAGGTATTACTCCATAAGAGTACTATGGATCTTGTTAGGATAGTTTCAATAGAGTAGCTGAGGACAGCATGGGGGTACAACAGAACATGCTAAGGTCCCATCTGGCAGCAATGACATGTATGGGAAATAGTGTTGCATTGAGTGGGTGTGATACCTCTGGATCTTTGTGTTGGGAAGCACCGTTGGAGCTTGGCACGCAGGACCTGTCCAGTGACTGTGGTAAATACAGCCTTTGAAAACGATACCCTGTTTTGCTATGAAACTTAAAAATGGCAAAGTAATATTTTAAAAAAAACAAACAGATGATCAACCCTGTCTGACATTTCGCCTTCCAAAATAAGCTACTGCATAGAGGGGTAAATATCAAGAACTAGTAGGATGATTCTCAGAACATATATCTTCATTTTTTGAGCAGGAAAAGCTTCCTAAAGGGATCTCTGTTAGCATGTGGACCAGCCCCTGCTCTCCTCACTTCTCCCCCTGACTCCTGCAAGCAAGGTTGAGGAACCCCTACTGAGTGGAACATTGATCAGCAAAGGCCGTGGTGTCCAACATGCTAGCCACTAGCCACATGTGGCTATTTGGTCAGTTGGGTGTGGCTAATTCACTGTAGCAATAGCCACTATAGCGGCTTGTGCTTCAGAACTGGTTGGATACCATGGCTCTAAAGCATACCGATTCTGCACTCCGCCCCAAGAACTAGATCTACCTGGGCTTTTCCATCTCTAGGTTTCAATAATCTCCCTAAGAGGATAGTCTTACATCATAGCCCGGACAAGGGGAAAGGTAGTGAAAAGAACTGTAAATAGAATTACAGATAAAATGATATTTGCAAAGATCCCTCTTCAAAGGCAGGCAAAATAAATACCTATTTCAAGCTACAACAAAGCTGTCTCACTCTGAAAATGTTGTTAGCTTTCAAGATGAGCTTTGGGCTCCATGGGAATTCCACAGCAGAGAAGGATGCAAGATTTTATTTAACCTAGACTTTTAATTTTTTTTATACTAGAGAGCAGCTTGTAAATGCTTACATTATTCCCTGGATTTCACTACACTGTACATTCCCTGGATTACAGCTGTGCCTTAGACCTCTGTCTCCCTGTTCTGGGCTCCTCCAGTCAAGTTAGTAGATCTCATCCACAGCTTGCTGAATTCAATGGGAATCTTTCCACTGCTTGCACTGGGCTATGGTTCAGAATCACAATGCCTCATGAAACATGAAATGAGTAAGGTACTTGAATCACGTGGTCCCTACACCAGAGGGAAAGGCCAATTTTGTTGAGTTTCTTTCATTTATTTTTCTAGTTTAGAAAAATACATCTCTTTTGACCTCTTGGCCTATCAACAAACTATAAATCTCTAAAAATTGCATGTGGTCCTAAGGACGGGGAGTTGGGAGAATCTAGTCCTCTTCCCAGCTCTGTCATGGCTTTTCTGGGGTGACCTAGGGTAAATCTCTTATTCACTCTACTTCCCCATTAGTATATGTTTTGATACTTCCTGCCCCCTCACAGGGGTTTACAGAGAGGGGCTAATAAATGTTGATATTGTAAAGCAGTTTAAGATGCTTGGATGAAAGGTAGTATAATGCAAAATATTATTACAATGCTGTGTATTCCCCAAACCAGCCTAAAATAAGCTCCTAAGGTGACCTGTATCTAAAGGGAGCACTGGCTTGCGCTAACAGAGGCTTCATTCTTGCCAACTCAAGGAATCAGCCATTAGGTAGCTGCTCGAAGAACAAAACTCTGTTATAAAAGGAGCAAAGTGAGGTTTGCTGGAAATTGGGAATGAAAATGCTGGTTCTGGGTCAGTGCCCTTTGTGTAGCTGGTGGAAAAAGAGATCTGTTTTCCTTTGTGAGATGTGTTAGAACCTAAAAATTATATCACTGAATCAATTATTGAGTGACACTGAGAAATCTGAGTTCTTAAAAGATCTGTTAATGAAAAAGAAATGGGAACAAAGATTAGGAGAGCTGCTTGGACAGAACATAGCCAGAACTACTGACAAAAAGAGAAACTGAAGAGATGTGTCTCTCAATCATTCCTTTTCTTTTCAAATGCACAAATGGGCTGAGATAAAAAGCAACAGGGTCAGAGTTCCAGTGAGCCCTTACAATCATTTTCCACGGTGGAACAAACTATTATACAACACAATTTGACATTTGCTTTTAGCTTCAGAGAATGTTATATAAATGTTGCACACCATAATGAACCTTTTTCAAAAACTTATCTTGACAGGATGTGAAAACTCCTTGGAAGAGAGAATGTGCATAGAATACGGTCTGCATATCAAACTGTCTGACTTTAATTCTTTGAAGCAGTTTGCACTCTATAGCGAACAAAGAATTTCCAATGCTAGGAATTGCAGGCTGAATGAAAACAAATTTAACAGAAGAGGGACAATTTTCTCTACCCTCATTTGCTCCACTTTCTGAGAGGTAGGTAGAAGCTGATCTCAGGTAGTTGGGCATTTCCCTCAGTTTTTAATTTATGCTGACCTTTAAGGTCTTTTCCCAGAATGGGTTGAGGATTCCAAACCATACCAATGTCATAGCACAAGCCATCATGCAAACTATGTTTACACAATCTCAAATGGTATCACTTGCTCCTACAAGGTCATCATCAACAGTGTCCTTGCACTATTCTGAAATTTAGCCCTTTGCTTTATTGACCCTTAAACTAGGGAAGAGTCATATATTTCTGTGGTCAGGTGGGAGAAATTGCAAAATCTAAAACAGAAAGGGAATGAATAAAGACTGAGATCTGAGCTGCTATTGACACTAAACTGTTTTAACCAAGAGAAGGCTTTTCCGTGGCTTGTAATATTTAAAGAAAAAATTGTGAGATGCTTTTTAACAACAAAATCAAACCCCACAATATCCCCCACACTTCCTCCTCCCAGTTAAATATAATGGGAAAGACATAGTGGATCACAGTCGTTTTATTAGCAGAGGCTAAGTTTTACTTTGTATTTTTTGCTTGTAAGCTGTGAAACCCAAAGTCAGTCATTTTATATAGGGTACAGTGGATTTTTTTTGACTGTGTAGCAATCTTAAGGAAACCAGCTTAAGTTGGTGGGAGAAGCTTGGTGGTGCTGGTGGATTGAAAAATCAAGGCAAAGCAATACTTTTGTCTGTCTTTTTTTCCTCCTCTTCTGCAAAGGAGAAAAACTAACTGGATGTTGCATTATGAAGCCTGTCTCCCCTGCCCTTAACACCTCGTTTTGACATCAAACCCTAAGAATGGGGTACTACTTAATTAGCCTCATTAGCACCAGTCCTGCAACTGACAGGTAGGTTTTTTGGTGTTATAAAATATTTGGTGTTATTCCTCTCCAGCTCATCTGAGAAAGTGGGTTTTGTCCATGAAAGCTCATGATACCACATATATGTTAGTCCTGTGGCACCTTAGAGGCTATTTCTTATCTTCCCTGTAATGGTCAGCCACTGAGTAATCCCCCCTGTCAATACCAAGCCAAGGGAGAACCATTCAGGAGCCAAAAGTAGGACCTGGTAACATTTTAGCTCAAGCTATCTTTATGTTGAGCAGAACAAGCTTGTGAGAAATTATATTTCAAGGCTTTGGATGTGCTGCCTTTTTTTTTAAGGCAGTTTCTGTAGTATGAGAGCCTGACCCAAAGCCCACTGAAGTCAATGGAAAGTCTGACTTCAAAATTGTTTTGGGTTAGGCCCAAGTGCTGAGAGAATAGGTGCAATGCATTTAGCTAGCCTGAGGCTTGCTCATGTAAAGTGCTGGTCGCCTCCTGTGAGGTGCAGAAAGCCCTTCTCTTCTGATAGCTGTGGTGGTAGCTACTCAGGATGGACCCAGTCCTCCCCCTGCACTCTCAGCCATGTTCTTGCGCTGCAAACAAAGAGAGGGAGGTTGTTCTAATCAGACCGTTGCCACGGGGAAGCTGTCTGTTTATGAAAGTTCCAACCAGATCTCATCACAATGCTCTTTCCTTGGTAAGTCCAGGTACATGACTAGCACTAATCATTCATGACAAATTCTGGCTACGTTTTGAAGTTACAGGGCACAATGAGCCCATCAACAACTCTTTACATAATTTATGCCAATTATTTTTCAAACACGCTATCGTATGCAAACAATGGAAATTAGATTATCCCATATGATTTCATCCTAGTCCTGGGAGATATGGCTCATGTTTTATGCCTGAGTTCTATATCTCTTCCAATACTCTTCTCATTTGCATTTCTACCTGTATCCTCATCTTATCCCCATGTGTCCAATTGCTCCTTCCTTACTGCATTTTCTGGGTTATAAAATGGAACAATTGTGGGTTATGACACCCTATATAAAACAGGAGCTAACTGGCTAATTAGTGTGTGTAACCCACAAACCTAGTGTGGTTCATTTGTGATCTAGGCTTAATCATGAAGAGGAATATTCTACTAAAAACTTGCACATGGGGGGTGATGCTCCACGTGCAGCTCTTTCTCCTACACAGAACGGGGCATGTGGCTACCTTCCCAGAGGGCTGAGACTGGCTGTAGGGATCACCACGAGGCAGAGGAGAAGGAACATGGGCAATATGCATTTTCTCCTTTGAGCCCCACAGGGCTTCTATGCAAAAAGCTGAATGCCTTTTTGTAAGGTCCCCATGGGATGGGGTAGGAGAGGGACATGCGTGAGAAATACCCTGACAGCACTGATCTACTAGACTCGCACAGCCTGCTAATTGGGAAGAGGGAGGAAGCAAGGAGGCCTCAGTGGCTGACGCTAGGCACAGATCAGTTCCAGTTTGGGTGCCAAACGTTTCACCCACCCATCAAAATGCCGCAGGAAAAAGCAAGCTCTATGATGCAGTGTAAGAATTTGGCAGAAGTAGACAGTTTTCACCCCAACCCAAGAGAATGATCTTGTGCATAGCTGAGCTTTAAATTGTATAACCCCACTCCTCCTAAACCAGGGTTTCCCAACCTATGGGTCGCCATTACAGCTCAAAAGAGTCACCAAGTGTCTCCTCAGGTGGCTCTGCCTCTCCTTCGCCTCCTCCTGTTTTTTAATTACCGTAGGTCACCAAGTCTTCCTGAATTGTCAAAACGGCTCCCCATCTGGAAAAGGTTGGGAACTGCTGTCCTAGACCCTTACTAACTATTTATTGCTTCTTATAACCCTGCTTGTAATTATGGGGCATGAGCAAGATCATGCATATTTTCAAAATTCCTCTACAGCCCTCCAAAGGCCAGGGAGCACTGAGCAAAGAGTTTTTTCCAGCCAACATTTTATCCTTCCCCACTTATGCCCTTTGGATGGTGAATTTAGACTGCTCAAATTTTCCTTTTCTTTATAGCTGGTTTCACTTAAGGGTCTCCTATACCAGAAAGAGGCAGTTGTTCTGGCACCCTAACAAGGGCGGGAGGGGATGAAAAAATAAACCCTTCTTAATTAATGACAACCTCCCACTGTTCAAGTAAAGTTTGCGTTAACCTACTCCCCTTTTTCCCCCAAACAAAATCCAAATTTTAGGAGCACAGCTACTTGTGCCCCTTTAAAAACGAGCAGTGACTAGCAAGTAAAACGCCCATCAAAATCAATGAGAACTTTCCTATTACTTTCAGAAGGAGCTAGGACAAAACCTTTGCAAGAAAAACTTAAGGAATATTTGTGCCCTATAAATTAATGTGTTCCCATAAGTTCTAAAGCTTTAATTGTTCCAATTCTTCTAGCTTATTAGACTTTGGGTTTAAACAATTAGCCAATAATAATGTGACAAACGGTATTTTATTCCAGTGCTGGGGTTCTGCCCCTATTACCAGATTTCTTTCTCTCTTTCCCCACGGAAGCAGCCTGGTGGCAGGGAACCTCTGTCTTGTGTTGGAAACATTCAGCCAAAGATTCTTGTCAATACTGGTCATTCTCACCAGACTACACCAATTAAAAATAGTTCTAGTTTTCTAGAGAGTTGATCAGAACAAGGAAAGCATTTGGGTCTTGTTCTGCTTCAGTGATATCAGTGCTCAGTTGCACCTGAACAGTGTTGTTGTTGTTGTTGTTGTTTTTAAATAATGAGACACTATTTTTCTAAATATATAATTTGTAGAAGTACAACTACTGTGACAAATCTCAGATTCTAAGAAGGGTTCCTACAGAACACCCAACAGTGAAAACACACTGCTATCAGTGAACTATTTTTTCTTGCCAAATGTGTGTTAATAGGAAATGAAGATCTAAGATGAAAAATGTCTTGATATTTTAAAAAAGGGGAGAGGGGAAAAATGAAAACATCCATAGAAATTTAAGTAACAGTCCATTAAGGTAGATCTTAAGCAACATGTAAAAGAACCTGAAACACAACTGAAATCAAGAAAAATATAATTTTCAGTTGTTACTTTGAGAATTCTCACCCTGTACACTGGCAACATGGAAGCTTATGGTGGCAAGGTGAAATTCTCAGTTATGTTAAACTTTATGCATCAATTCAGCTTTCCCCATTTTTTTTAAATTCTCCAATTTGTTTAATTTTCCCATAATTTTTTATTCCTATATTGCAATGTGATTGCCTTACACTACTAATAAAAAAAAGTTCTTAACTGATATGCCAAGTCTTTGTTGTCTTTGCCTTTTACAGCTCAATCTGTCAAAATGCTTGTGAAGAACACATACATATGTTTCCTTCACCATGTCGTTCCTTGTAAGGTGTCGGGGAGTGTCATCCATAACACAACATTGCTTGACCCACAGTTAAAGAACTCTGGCAAAGGCATTGTTTTTGTAATGCCCACCTAGGGCCACAGAGCTACATCCCTTTGCGGCAAGCTCCTGGTAAGCCCTATGGGAGCCTTAGGAGAGGACCCTGTTCAACTGATATGGCAGACAAATGGCTACTAACTTAAATCTTTTTGGATGGACAAGTACCCGCAGAGCATTCACAGATGCAGCTGTGTGTCGTCTTTTCCTGTGGCTCTCTCTGCAGGACACTCGACAGCCAGCTGCTACTTTTAACAACATCTCCACCCCTCGACTGGCATCACGTTCATATAGGGAGAGGCATTGGTGATGTCATGAGTTCCCTGCTTTGACATTCCAGGGCTGTGGGTCTCCTCTTCTGGTCCCCTTTCACCCTCTATCTAAGCCACAAGGAATAATGCATCAATGAGAAGGTGAGGTATCCTCCAAGCCCAGCAGCTCCTTTATGAGTCTCTCACCAAACTGTGCCCGGCTGTACCTTTTCACGTGATAGGCATCTGACATTTTGTAGAGGATGTAGGCATTGTTTATGGCAATGCTGATGGTAAACCAGAACACTTGTTGCCAGGTCTTGTTTGGTTTATGAGAAATGAAATACCTAGGAAAGGGAGGGAGAGAGGGGAAAAGAGAATTTAACATTCAAACACATCTGAGTGTCCTGCTGGATGAAAAAAAATGACCCAGACGTTCTGCAATCCTGAGTAGTGAACAGGCTCAGGAGCTGTCATTCGGATGATATGCCAGCTATTCCTTGATACTGTGTTAAGGAACATGAGCAGTGTGTTTGGTAACTCTCTTTGTTGTAGTTATGTTATCAGACAGTTTCTAGTTATTTGACACAATGTCCGTTTATGTGTCTTGTATTTTTCTGCCCTCAGGCAGGGTTGCCAATAGACCGCATTATTTTGACCAAAAAAAAATGAACTCCATCCTCTTTGTGTGCCAAACAATGGCGCTTTCACCAGTTCCCTTGGCAAACTGTCTTGGAGCCAAACCAATCTTGCTGTCAGGAAACTTTTCTTGAAATGTAGCCTGACATTTCCATCTCATACCATCAATCCTAATTCATCCCCTTTTACCACCTGACAATATCATAGTCTAATGTGCACTTCATTCACATACTTGTAGACTTAGGACCCATGCCCCATTATTCAACTTCCTTGACAGTACATATTAACATCCAATTAATCCCTCTGGTCCAATGATAATTTCTCTTCTCTAAACCTTCTTTCAGTTCAATGTCTTTCTGGCAATGAGATGCCCAAAACTGAGTCCACTATTGCACTAATGTATGATATGGCAATATCTCCTTCTCGCTCCCAAATAGTGATCAGTAGGCAACGCTTATCCTTACAGGACTCAACCATAGAGGCAGGGGAGGGGGACAGGAAGGGGAGAGAATCACTAGTCAAATGCTTATCGGATAATTGACTAGCCTTTAACATCCCTAGACAGAAAGCTTGTGCACAGCTGATTACGCTGCTGTTAGTAGCACAGATAAGGAACAGGTTTTTTTTTAATGACTTTAAGCAAAGGCTATGCCTTCAAAAAGAATGATACAGAAACCCCTTGTTCCCAGATAGGAAAGGCAGAAATTAAGAATCTTTGAAAAGACCTGCCTGGCTCCAGGGACAGTGTAGAGACGGCTAATTCTGGAGAGTCCTGCAGCAGATGCTCATTAAGGGCAAACCGCATAAAGAGAAGGCAGCTATAAACTGGTTGGCCCCTTGCAAAGAAAAAGAATCTCTCTTGCTTTTGTAGTTATGACTTGGATCGAAGCTGCTGTAACTAATTCTTGGTGCCTGGGAGCAGCTGGACTATAGCAGGGTGAAATGGTTGGAGACAGTATATTGGAGGGCAGTAGAAACTCCTAGGCCTGCGTCTAGACTGGCCGCTTGATTTTGCACAAAAGCACTGACGTTCTACTGTCCGAAATCAGTACCTCTTGCGCAAATGCTTTGACGTTCCCATTCGGGCAAAAGCCCTTTTCCGGAAATGCTTTTGCGCAAAAGGGCCAATGTAGACAGCTGAAAACTGTTTTGCGCAAAAAAGCCCCAATGGCGAAAATGACGATCGGGGCTTTCTAGCGCAAAACCACGTCTAGATTGGCACGGATGCTTTTCTGTTAAAAGCATTTGCGGAAAATCATGCCAGACTAGACGTAGCCCTAGGAGTCTTAGGCTATGTTTACACAACCCCTTATGTTGGCAAAAACTTATGTCACTCAAGGGTGTGAATATTCCACCCCGTGAGCAACATAAGTTACACTGATCTAAGCACTAGGGTGTCTCCTGCCAACATAGCTTCTGCTGCTTGCGGAGGTAGTTTTATTATACCAATGGGAGAGCGCTCTCTCGTCAGCATAGTGTCTTTACCAGATGCACTGGCTTGACCCTCTTTAGATATGCCATTTAAATACTCCCAGGATGCAATTCTCATGATGCTTTGGCTGAGGAACGGACAGATAGGAATATCAGTGTTTTGAATCCAGTCTAGCTTTGCTGACTTATGAAAGATGTGAAGGGGGGAGAAAAGGAGAAAAGAGTTTAATCAGAGCTATTTATTCATATCTAACTCCCACACAAATTCCCAAGATAATGGCCAGCAAAACAGCTTGCTCCCCTTAAAAAATTTTTTGCAAACATATAGAGCCTGATTCCATTTTCTTTAAAGTCAATAAGAGTTTTGCTATTTAATAGTGAGCAGGTTCATATTCCCACTATCTCCTCAAGGAAGGTTCAAATGTTCCGGCAATAAGGGATTCACCCACTTACTTGCTGTATTTGTCGTCATATTTGCAGATATAGCTAAGATGAGCAGCAAAAGCCTCTACTGCCAACGGGCATGGGATCTCTCCACTTTTTCTCTTAATTATAACTCCTGCATCAATTAAAAAAACACAACAAAACAGCTGTTGAGTTTTAAACTGTTGTGTTAGCATTAGTGTTACCAACTACAATCCACTTTCTGAAAAGGAGATTTGACATCAACTGCTTAATGTGCCAACACAAGCAAGATTTCATTAATCATTAGAATTTCTATTCTGAAAATAAACCTTGTTGATCCTAAATTCCCTTGTCTCCCCCCGCCCCCCTTCTCAGTCCAACGGGCATCTGGAAGACTGAATCCTATGTAGGGCCCTACCCAGTTCAAGATCCAAATTCAGAATCCATTCAGTCATAGGATTCTAAAAATAAACTAACTTCATGATTTCTGGTGTTTAAATCTGTAATTTCATGGTGGTGTAATTGTAGGTGTCCTGACCCAAAAAAGAGTTGCGTGGGGGTGTCAGAAGGTTATTATGGAGCGGAGGGCTGTGGTACTGCTACCCTTACTTCTGCACTCCTGCTAGTAATGGTGGTAGCACCGCTTTAAGAGCTGGGCTCCCAGCCAGTAGCTGCAAAAGTAACCTTCTGGCTGAGAGCCCAGCTCTGAAGGCAGGGCTGCCGGCCAGCAGCACAGAAGTAAGGGTGGCATGGTATAGTATTGTCACCCTTACTTTTGTGTGGCTGCTGAGGTGCTGCCTTCAGAGCTGGGTTCCCAGCTAACAGCCACTGAACTGCAGCTGGCCAGTTCTGAAGGTAGCACAGAACTAAGGGTGGCAATATTGTGACACCTCCGCCCACCCTTTTGCATCAGGACCCCCAGTTTGAGAAACACTGATCTCTGTATGGCACAGGGTGTTAGCACGCAAGATCAGATTTCAGGATCTGCGGTGTGCTTCTCATGGCTGTGAATCTGGTACCTTTCTAGTAGTGTGCATGCCAAAGCAGCTGTGGAAGAGATGCATGAAAGGTTGGTCAAAACACAAACTTGAACTCTTTCCTGAGCTCTAGCTATCAGCCCATCATGGTGGCAGCACTTGTTGCTTAGGTGTGATGCGGTAACGTTTGCTTCCTGAAGCACCAAACTCTTGCCGAGATGCTAAATCAGAACTTGCCGAAGTTCCGCTTTGATTCACTGGGCGGAGTGCTGCGGGTTTGGCTTCTGGTGTGTACGGTTTACCTAGCCCTTCTTCAGGGGCTGTGACGCTAGCAGGCACTGAAGAGCAATGGGTCCCATGGGATGGGATAATCACCTCTGTTGCAGCTGTGAGCTTTAAGGTAGTGGGGTCTACAGGGAGCACTGTGAGCAAAACAGCTGGTGCTAGATATACAACCTACAGCAGTTTGCAGCCCTATGCTACGGCCACCACCTGCCTCACCATGGTTCATCCTGGTGGTGAGACATTTTCCCTATTCCCTGCTGTACTACCTCTACGTTGTCTTTGCTATTATACTTGTAACTCTTGCTCTCTCTCCTGCCAGACCTTTGGCTTGGAAAAGGGAAAGGTTCATAGTAGGGATGTAATAGTATAATCGATTAACCGATAAGCAAAAGCTTATAGGTTAATGCTATAGACCACATGCATTCCCCTCCCCCAAGTACATTTTTTTTTAGCAGTCCTGGCTTGCAACAGCTCCAGGACCTACCCTGCTGCAGCTCTGCATTTAAAGTGTATTAGGAGCTAGGCTGGCAGGCAGCCCGGCTCATGCTAGGTCCAAGAGTAGACATTCCCCTCCTCCCGCTGCTGCCACCTTGCGCTGCTGCCTCTGTATAAGAAGCAGCAGCATGGGGTGACAGGCAGCCAGTCCACAAGGGGAGCTGGTTTTTAAACTGGCTCCCCTCGCAGACCAGCTGCCACCAGGCACCTCACACTGCTGCCTCTGAAACAGAGGCAGCAGCACAGAGTGGCAGGGGGCTCCTCGGAAGTGGGGCTGGAGTGTAGTGGCTACTGCCCCCCCCTCGGCACTACAAAATAGTCCACTAACTGATAAGAATTCATGGTGTTACTCGACTATTCAATTATCCAATATTTAACATCCCTAGTTCCTAGGTGATGAGGTGAAGAGTTAGAGAAACACTTGTAATTTCCAGATGTCTTGTATGAAGTTACTGCAGGAGGCACTTTGCTCTGCTACCAGCCTATGTTCAAGGAAATGGAGCTTGTGCATATTTTATAAATAAATGGCACCTAGAAAACACTGGATTCTACATCACTGATATCTGCTTGAAATAGGGGCACTGAGAAATCTGTTACAGCTCAGTAAAGGTGCAACGCAATTTGCTAGGCAGCAGCAGTTCTGGGGGCCTGGAAGGTTATTTTCCTGTTTGGAGCAGACATGGTGTCTGGTGTTTTCTCACTGTACATTTAGAGTGGGATCCACAAAGGGACAAGGGTGTTGCAATCCTCAGCATCATGGCGCCTAACTTTTGGGCACGTAGAAAAAAAAAAATCACAGGAACAATGTCAAGCTCCCCAAAGCCTTGGTAGGTGGTTCTCTCTCCCCATTCATTACATAGGGAGCCTACACACCTAAGAACGTGATCCACTAGCCCCAGCATGCTAGGGGTGGGGTGCAGCTAAGGAGAAATGCCAGGGAGAGGAGTGGGTGCCAATCCCCTCCCCTCTCTTGGAGATAAGGGTCTACATCTGGACTGCAGGGAGATGCCTAGCTCTGCTTAGGGATCCATGAATAGTAACCAGCCACCGAAAGTTAAGCAGCTCAGGCGCCTATGTAATTTCTTGTGAGGAGTTTGGCTCCTACCTAACTTCACACACACTACCTAGTGGTGGTAGTGCCACCACTTCCCCCATAACTTTTAGCCCAGTGGTTAAGCACTCACCAGCCATGTGAGAAGCTATTCTGATATGGAGCTCCCTCAATCTCATCCTGTTAAAGTCATTTCACTATGGCTAAAAAATGAAAGAATGATTAGAGCATGGGACTGGGGTCGCCCTCCTCCCAGGGCCTACTGGACTACACAGACATCCCCCCCTAATGCCTTCTCTCTGGCCCAGTGACTGCTCCACTATGGATGAATATTTAGGGTATGACAACACAGCCCATGTTACAGTAGGTCTATAATGGCACTTTTCAGTTTTAAAATGTGTCGTCCAGGGAGGTGTTTTCTCATGCCCTGAACAACTAAAGTTCTACGTGGGAACATAAATACCACCTACATCACTGAGCCAGAGAGAGGGCCTAGGTAGTCGAGGGAATGACTAGCCCTTTGGTTAGGGTACCCACCTAGGAGGTGGCACTTCAAAGCCTGTGCTCCCAGCTTCAAAGCACTATCTACTCAGCTATTTTTCAGTGCTATTATTGCCTGCACTAGCACAGTCACTCTGGGCTGTGAGGCTCACGGCTGCATAGACTTAATCCCAGTGACTGTAGGGGAGTGATGTCATTAGGCAGTGTTGTACAGTTTTCACTCTGGTCAGTCTAACCCCGTGGTCCCCAACACGGTGCCCACCGGCGCCATGGTGCCCGCGGGGGCATTTGCATGCACCCGCCGGGTGTTCGGGGCTGGCCTGGCCCTGGGCGTGCGGCGCTTGGCGGGGGGGGGGAGCGCTGGCCCCGGGCACGCGGTGCTTGAGGGTGGGGGTGCCGGCCCTGGCCGCGTGGCTATGGGGGGAGCCCCGGCCCCAGGCATGCGGCTATGAGGGGGGCCGCCCCCGGGTGCGCAAGTGTCCCCGCCCCCTGGTGCCCGACAACCTCAAATGGTTGGGGACCACTGGTCTAACCACTGGTCTATGCTGACTGGCTGTTTAGTCCATCTTCCTCCCTCGGTCACTTCACCCTCACTCCACTCTTCCTCCGTGCTCCCCCTTCTTCCTATCTTCTCCAGTTTGTCTTTGGGCTTAACTGTATCCCTCACAAAAAACATAAACAAAAACCCCTCCCAAGCACCCAATTTTAAATCAAGATGGGATGTTTTTCTAAAAGCTCTGCTGTAGGAATGGCTGTGGAGACGTTCTCTGGCCTGTTGGATGGGAGGTCAGATGGGATGACCACAATGTTCCCTTCTAGCCTTGGAAGCTATCAGTCACTAGCCTAATGGAGCTCTGGGCTTCACTGCCTTCAAGGCATTATCATAATTCCTCCTGGAAGCCAGCTCAGGTTGGCTAAAGTCACTGAGAAACAGAGCATTAAAGTTGTTCTTGGTCCCACTTTTAGTCACTATTTCAATTTGGACGAGATCCCATAGTCCTGATTCTTTTAGTCTTTCCTGAACCTTCTAAACCATTGAATTACTTCACAAGACAGCCAGACCAAAACTGCTACTCCTGTTCGGATTACAGCCAAAGAATTTAATTCTGAAGCCTAACAGTTCAGCTCCCTCCATTATCTCTGTCAGCCCCTTATGACACCCTATGTGGCAGGCCCTTGTTTTGGATTTCAACAGTGTCACTTTTATGACAGATCCATATGATTTATTTAAAGTTCTTGAGTGTTAGATATTATGTTAGAGTGAAGTAGCAGGAATAATGGGCGTAAATACAACATGGGGGGTAAGACTCTTAAAGCTAAGGAAAATAATATTTCTTATTACCTTCTACGTACCCAGTTAGGGTGTTTTTATTGTCTGATGGAATAAATCTGAAATCTAGTTGACTGTATGAAGACAGATGAGGAAAGACAGACCTTTCCTTGTAGGTCCCCTATGGTTACCTGTATAATCCAGGTGATATTTTTGTGTAAAGAAAAAAATTGCTTCCAGAATTTCCTTTGATTTGCTTTCCATTTATTTTCACTAAAATGCTTGCTTACAGCTCCATAGGCACCACATAGTCCCTCTTATTTTCCATTCCTAAAACTTTGTTTTTTCTGTAACTCTTCAGAGACTTATTCAGACCACAGGTCTGAGCTAGGAGGAGGGTCTCTAGCAAGGTTCCCCAGGAGGAGGCACCAGTTGCTCCCAGCTTTGGCATTGCTCCGGGAGCCCCTCTGGTCAACAATGCCCCAGTTGACAGTGCTGGCTAAGAGGTGGCATGGCCAGGATATGCAGATGGTCCGATTCGCATTCCTTTGCCAGCGGGGCTCCTTACGTGGTGGAGAGCCCAGAAAAGTTCCTCTGGTAGAGCTCCCAGAAAAGCACTGTGCTGAAGAACCTGCTTGTTCTTTCCTGGGTACTGGACAGAGGGGCAGTGCTGTCAACTCTTGTGATTAAAAAACAAAACAGATCTCATGAGATGGTGCGTGATGGCTCTCCATTAAAGCTCCAGCATCATGTGAGTGAGAATCTGAGTGGCTACATCTAGACTGCAGTCTTCTTGCGCAAGAACTGTTTTGTGGAAGAGTTCTTGTGCAAAAGGTTTTCCACAAGATCACGTCCATGCTGCCATGAGCTTTTGCAGAAGAGCATCCATGGCAGTGTGAACACACTTGCGCAAGAAAGCTCTGATGCCCATTTTAGCCATTGGGGTTTCTTGCGCAAGAAATCTATGTTGCCTGTCCACACTGCTCTCTTGTGGAAGAGCTCTTGCGCAAGAGGGTTTATTCCTTGTGTGGAGAGGAATAACTCTTCTGGAAGAAGCCCTGTTTTCTGACGCTGTACTGTACATTTACTTGCCCAAGAACACACGTGCAGTGTAGACAGCCAGCAAGTTTTTGCACAAGAACAGCTGTTCTTGCACAAGAAGCATGCAATGTAGACACAGTCAGCTTGTATTTGGGGGAGGAGGAGAAGCAGCCATGGTTACAGAGAAGCTTGGAGAGGTTTCCCTATTGTATACTATAAAGCTTCAGATCCCAGAAAGCAAACAAAAGCACCCAAAATGCGTGTGTTTTAAATCATGACTTTAAACTAGGGATGTAAAATCCTGTAATTGTTTGATACCTGACTCATGATTTGAATACTAGAACTGGTAATACTAAGAGCAGCTTGCATCTTCCTTGGTGTAGGGGCTGGTATTGAGATGCATGAAAGGGTGTGTGTAAAGGGGTGAACAAGGCCCTGTGGGTTCAAAATGCTGTACAAATGTTTAACAAATCACAAAGTCCCATGACTTAAGGAAATGCGGAGACTTTAATTTCCATATTTTTTAAAAGGACTTACACAGGCCAGCGAGGTAGACTGGAATATCTCCTTCCTTCCTTCCCCACTCAATCCACTAGCTTAGCAGTAGCTTTGCTACAGTCTAGCCGTGCTTCGTACAAATGATTTCTCTTCTGTGCTCCTGACATTGGGAAGAGACCTCCTGGGCCAGGTCCTTAGATAGCATAAACTGGCATTGCTCCACGCATTTCAATTGAGATGCCCATTTACAACACGTGGTAAACGGATCCTCCACGTGTCTCAAATCTTAAACCAAAGCCTTCATCTTTTCTCCCTAGCCTGGATCTGACCCGTTCTCTCAGTTTGCCATTTGTTTAATATTCTTTCACGGGAATCCCTTTGAAGCATTTTGGTGAATGGTGTACTTCAAACATGTCACACAGCACACAAGCTACATTTTGTAACAGATCAAGTTCCATAAGTGGAACTACACCAGTTCATTCCAGCTGAGGTTCTGGCCTGTTTGTGACTTTACACTGAAATGCTGCCAGTGTCTGGTCTACTTCTATTAAAGGGGCATCCAACTAGTTTGTTTCATTTGTTTGTAAAGGTGGTGATTGTTAAGTTTTATGAATAGATTTTTTTCCCCCCCTGAAACTTGTTTAGGTTTTTTCTTTAGTAATTCTTGACAAAAAGGCATTTGTATACGATGAATCGATTTTAAATCCACAGGAGAAACCAATTGTAGAATCTGGTCAAAGAGCTTTAATTCTCAGTGTGGTTCTTATTGGTCCAAATTATTTTATGCATTTAGGAGTTTCTCTTTACACAGACTTATCCTGCAATTATCCCAGGAGACAACTTATTACGTATCATATTTTAACAGCAGTCGTAACTCTTCCCCACCGCCGCAGGTCAACTGGCATATATGTAAAAACTTCAGCACCACAAAAGGAACAGCTCTCTGTGGCAGATAAAGTAGTAACTATTCACTGGTAGCAGTAGTACGTTTTTTGGGGTTTTTTTAAGCCTTTATGCGGAGAGGACATCAGTTTGCAAACAAGGCACTTTTAACCACTGTTAATGCACTTAGCTAGTACCTTAGGAACAAGAGCAGACAAACAATGGAAATGGTCACCCATGCTACGGTTTGTCTAGGATTATAAATGATCAAGCTTCTTAAACTGACTGTCATCTATAGCATGGCCACATTACAGGTAGGATGATACTGCTGATTGCTCACCTTGCTGAACTGGAGAATAGGCATTAGTGAGAAAACGAAAGTGCCCTTTGTTGTACCAGCAGATCAGGGACATGTTTCCCTTCATTTTTATTCTGTACTGCCCTCTGGACTGGGGAGCATCTGGGTTGTGCAGCATTGATGGAGGTAGGCCTGTGCAGTCGCTTTTCCTGGAACTCAGCAACCCGCAGCAATAGATCTCTGTGGAAGAAAAACAATAAATTCCCATCAGCAAGTCATCCTAGAGAGTTAAGTCACTGTCATTTCCGTCTGACTGGACAAAGAACTGGTCCTAATGCTAAGCAGTTGTCAACTCAGCTACAACTTCACTGTACCATCTTATCAATGCTCAACAATTCTACTCTCCTTCAACCTGCAGTTCTTGTCTCATGCCAAAGGGGCCAATGAGTAAATTCATATTTTGTGAAAAATTCCATGTCTCACTAATGATCCATGCAGCCATGTCCAAATAACCAAATCATGCACATTAGTAACAATTCCTGACTTGTTTTGAGTGTGTTTGTGATAAGAAAAATATCAGAAGATTAACTCTTCCTTTAATCTGATTTAATTTTAAGAGCATATAGTAACAGAATTTCTTGCTATCAGAATAGAGATATTATGCATGGGAAATATAGTCAAACTCCCCAAAACAAACAGATGATCAATTGGATTAAAGAATCAAATCCAGCTTTGGCCAAGAATCTAGTCTTTCAGTGCTTAGATACTCCTTATTGCCAAGCCATGTCCTTTTCCTGATGTGAGCTTTATAAAATCCCGGAAATCTTAAATCCAAATCTCCTTTCCATCTCCCTCGGCTTTGTTTTGACTAGTCAAATGTAATGAGACTACGCACATCTGTATGTATGTCATACTTAGACTGATCCTCTTAGATTTGAGTATTCCACTGAATTGACAGCAGCCCAAAGCTGCTATTTCAGGTAAAACAAAACAGGCCTGTCAACTGAGAATGCTGACCTAAATTGTTCAGTCTAAAATCTACTTATTAAACTGTCATCCTTCAGCAAATAGAGAATTAAAAATCAAACTGCTCAATCAAGGGGAATAAAGAGGCTGTTACATACTGTAAGTCTCTTCTGCCTCTTTCGTTCTGGTATTCGGTACATTCTTTGAAGCAGGGGCAGTCTTTTTTGGCAGGGGGTCCTATCTGTACAGCACCTAGCACAGTGCGATGCTGGTACTTCATTAAGGCTCCTAGGTGCTATGATAATACAAAATAATAAACAGTTCTCATGAACCGAGTCAAAGAGCAACACATGACCAGCAACTGGTTCTTGAGATTTTTCCCCAAAAAAGTGCTTTGTAAATCCAGGAAAAAAACCACCCCACAGGCTGAGACACCATAGGGGGGGAAAATATATATAAAAAATTATAGGTGCATTATCTATTTTATAAATGTCTGAATTCATTTGTTCAAGAACTCCTTCTAAATGGTAAGAGGTAGGACCATCAAATTTAGTGTGCAGCTTCCTCTTATCCTAACTTAGGCTACATCTAGACTTTCAGGAAGATCGACACTGCAGCGTTCAATCTTCTGGCATTTCATTTAGTGGGTCTAGTAAAAACCCGCTAAATCAAATGCTAAGGATGCCGCTATCACGAGACGTAAGGGAAGCTGACGGGAATGTTTCTCCTGTCAAACTTCCCACTCTGGGAATGGTGCCAAATTTGGCTTAAGGTACATTGACTCCAGCTATGTTATTTATGTGGCTGGAATTGCTTACCTTAAGCTGACCTTCCCCTGTAGGATAGACCTGCCCTTAAAGCAAGGTCAGGATTTGGTTGTGCTAGGATAATGGGATGAGCAGGGAATTAAATTGTTTCCTCATAAAATGGAAAGGGAGAGGTTTGGTAGGAGGGTGTTATATTGCAGACTGAACACCGGGGAGACAGCAAGGGGCTAGAGATTGTAGCTGTCCCAGTTCCTATCCCATTGAGGGGCAGGGAGTAGGGGTGGAGAAAGGAACAACTATTTTGGAGTGTTTGTGTATCTGTCCCCCTGGTGAGGAACATACACCCCTCTCCCAGCTGTGCCCTGCTGCGGCTGTAGCAGCCACGGACAGGCGCATCTCACCTGGCCCCAAGCTGCTGCAGTTGGAGAGGGCTGGGGTTGTCCTCTCTCCCAGAGCAGCCTGCAGACTGAATCCCCCATCCCCAGCTCCACCCCAGAATGATTTAAATAAAGGAAAAAAACCTTAGAGATAAGGGCCTGTGCAATGCCGGGTAAATCTTCTAGTATTTTACATAAAAATATAATTGCTCTGGTTGCCCCAACAGTAAGAATGGAGCAGTGGCTCTTCACTTAGAAAACATGAGCATTTTAAATGTCAAAATGGAAAACCAACACGTCAACTTGACTCTGATTTTAGGGAAGGAGCTGTCTAATGCATCATATATGGTCTGCCAGTTCTGGTTTCTTAACCACTAGAATGCCACTCAAATCTCTTCTAGCCATATCCATGAAGAGACCTCTCTCTGCAGTGAGGTAGACAAATATGCATAGGATACACGTGTCCTAAAATGCTTCTTGCTACCACTGTCTCTGAAACTTCCTTTTAACGGGTCTGTGAGCACCTGGGATTTTATCTGTTACTATGTGTCACTGAAAACATCACGGCAGCAGCTCGATTAGAATGCTGCTCTTTCTGCTCCAAAAGCACAATACCGTAAACTAGAGAAGAATTGCCTTTAGCTGCGAACACTCTGACTCACTGAAAGTTCTGTGTTTAGGACTGCTAAGGTAAATACATCCTTTTCTTCAGGTTGCAAAAGACAAGTAGATGTTTTGGTCTTTTCCCAAGAGATAGAGAACTACCTTGCCTATCTCTCAGGAAAAAATAACGAAGCATTCAAAGAAATTAGCGTCAATTATGGAAGCTGCTGATTTAATACCACCGCTTGCAGAAGATGGCATATGTAATTTGTGGGTTTTTTAAAAAAAGCTGTAATTAAAACAATCAGTTGCTATGGTAATAGCAGCAATAAAAATTAAGCCTACCTGGCACAATGGCATAGTCCAAATTTAATTAAATGCTTAACATCTTATTACAGCCTCCCACCCCAAAATAAGTTTCACAAAATTTAAAAGAAGGTTAATTGAATAACCCCCAGGCCCATTCTCATAAGTTGCTGGTTACATTCTTGCTGTCGAGGGAAATGTAAGAGGACTTTATTCATAAAGGATCCATTCCAACTGTCATTTCTATTTCAAAATAAAAATGAAACCCACAAAGCCTGTGCATAGGAGCCCATTAGAGATAGGTGAAGCATGGCACAAGGGATAGGTGGAAAATCTCAAGTAGTTCAGTGGCTCAATTCACAGAGATCCCTAAACTTCATGAATGAGTTTTAATCTCACAAGGACAGGCAAAATCATCACGTTTTTAGCATCTCTACTTCGTCATGTCGGAAACTCCTTGTAGATCAGCATTTCTGCTGGCATTTCAGTGCCTGGTTCCAGTTCTACTTGGACACTGGAAACTTAAATAGAACTAGCTTTATGACTATGAAGGATATCATCCCCCTGATCCCTGAAATAATCAGAGGGGATGTTGTTTTTCAGAAGAACCCCATGGTCCAGACCTAATGAGTTCTTGGGAATGGAGTGTGGCAGGCCTCTTTTTATATTCCCAGAAATACACTTTGTGGTGGTACAATTAAGGCTATTACTATCTATATTTTCAAAACAGCAATATTGTAGTTACGAAGCGAAGGAAGATAATTTTGTAGTGAAGGCTCCACAAAAGTCTTCAAAGTTTTCCATAGCAGAGAGTGATCTCTCGGTCTGTCTGCTTTTGGACTCCACCAGAAAGGAATCTTAAGGGCCTGATTTTCAGAGGACAGGTGACCAGCACTTTCAGAAAATGCAGGCCCTTTCAAGGTGTCAGTTCAGGCACCTATCCACTAGGGCACTTAATAGCTATTTATTATTATTATTATTATTATTTTATTATTAAAGGTCTTGGTTCAAATCTTTCCCCACTGCCCATGTTAATGATTGACAGAAAACACCTATAAAAGCATTGCAAAAATGGATGAACAGAAATTCCTCTGACTCAAATTTCTGTGGATTTTTTTTTCTCTCCACTATTCCTTCAGCACTAGCCCAGGAACTATATCTTCTCTAGAACAATAAAAGTTAATCCAATATGTTAAGAATGTGTCTTAATTTTGTATAGTTGCTTATGCTCTTTAATGAAGCAGGCTCCTCATGAGTCATTCTTAGTTGTATTTTAGCCCTGAGTGTCTTTAATTCCCCAACTAAGCATTACTACTGTTAAAGCATTGATCAACCTGATGCCACTGTTTGCTCTAAATGCATGGAATTAGGATACAACAGGAGAATCATTTTCTAGAGGGGCACACTGGGCTTTCCACTGGCAAATCTTTGCTCTGCTCCAAATTCCACAGCTAATACCATGTGATCAAGCATGTGCTGATTACAGTACCCATGGCACTGTGGGTAGTGTCAGGATTCACAATCTCCTTCAAAGCTCTTGCTTGGCTTCACCACTGTTGGAACATATCAGAGGTCTGATTTCCCTGAGAATTCAATATGCCCTTCCACGCGAGAAAGCTCGCCATTATCATCCTCAGAGTAAAAGCCAAAACTACCCTCTGCCCCTGTTTAACCCAAACTGTGTGTTATATGTTCCCACTACAACCTCCCACTACAACCTGCTTTGTAAGGTGTACGAAAGCTACTTACCAAGAAGACGGAAAAGCTAGTAAGTCTGTTCTGAATCTCCTTTGCATTTCATTCACCAGCAGAAGCGATAGTGGGTATCAAATTGGGAATTTAATTTTGGAAACAGTGGTCATGGATCATAGAGTCTCATGAAGCCACATAAACCATGAACTAGGAACTGAAAATGATATAGGTTTTCATTTTTGATCAGATAAACCTAACTTTGACACTCTAGAAGGCATTTAGTGTGTCAGCTACCTGTTAGCAGTTGGTCATTTGAGTTCTCTTCAATGCAATGCCTGTGAATAGCGGACTACTATAAATAATCTGAGTTTCGTGTGATAAATTCCACAGTAGCTATGATTCTGTTCTACTGTGATTCTAGGGACCAAAAGGAGAACATTACTCTATTCTTACTCTTTCACACATCAGTGAGCATAAGAGTCATTTTCCAAAAGTCATTGTTTTAGGTCTGAAGAACTAGCAACCTTTTATTTCTTAATTAGATACTCCCTGGAATATTTGGATTCTCTTATGCATAATAACTACACATTTGACAGAATGGCTAGAAATATAATGCTAGAAATGGCTGGCTGCCCATAGCACCATTATAACACTTACGAAAAAAATTCAGAAGGAATATTCTCCAGTCATTAAACTCTATTGTAATATAAATAGTCTTGACCATGTGGCCATTCTGTTTGGAGAACCCATGATTACTTCTATATAAGCAGGGAAGCATTTTAAAAAGTGCTCTGCAGATTTTACAATGGATATACAATAATTTACAACTCTATCCCGCATTGTGCTCCATAAGAGCAGACCTGTGTGCACATACTAAGCTAGTGGAAAATTGAAGGCATTAGCTAGCTGAGGTATTGTAACTAATCACTGGCATTTTTCTTTTAAGTATTAATCAAAGTAATGGCACAGTTCCAATCTCTGCATTTTGGGTCAAACTCCAGTCTTGAATGCCCCACATGGATGTAGGTTTTTGTGAGCAGAAGCCATGCTGAAAATACAACTTGGCTCCCAAAGGTGAACAGTAGAGGGGGGGGGGGAAGAAAAGAAAAGAAAAAGCTTTTGGCCTCTTTTTATTTGTATATGAGAAAGGAAGGAAGTGTTCATCTACAGAAGAATTTTTTCTTGATGCTAGAAATTTAAATCTTGTTTACAATGGAAGACCCTAACTAGGGAACTTGTGAAAAAGTTCTATCACTGTAAAATAATTTAAGGTGGCCAGCTCAAAGGGGGTGAGGGGATATTCAGTAAACTCTTTCTACAACTACAACTGTAGTCAACAGGAAGTGTGAATGCTCAGCATATCTGAAATTAAGACCACTTGTAAAACACTGATTTAACACCAAGGATTAACAGGCACTTGGGTCTAACATTAGTCCATACCTATGCCTGTATAGCTAGCTAAGCAAACCCACCAGTGTAGATGTGGCTTCAATGGGCAAAAGAATGCTTGCTAACAACTTTGTCTATGATAAGGCATTTGCATTTAAATGTTTTAAAAAAATTACTTCCCAATTGACATTATATTGGCAAAAGTTTAAGGTAGACCTTGCCTTAAAGATTCAGCACATTCCCTTACCCCACCTACCCTTTTCACCCCCCCCCCCCCCCAATAAGTCTTCTAGGGAAGGGGACAGGGATAACCAGTCTAAATTCCTAGGGTAAAAGTGGGGGGGAAAAAGCCAGAGCTCCCTATCCCTCCTCCCCTTCAAGTAGCTTTCTTTCTATATGATGAAGACTCTGCAGGTCCCTTTATAATGACTAGACTAAATTACCCTTAGGGTGTCTCTAGCTTGGCTGTTCATGGCTATGCAAGGAGACAAAATGCTTCTGGCAGCATGATATTCATAAGCCTTTCTGCATTAGCAGTCAGTGGATCAGTTGTCACAAACCTTGCTTCTCAAATTCTTCAAAAAGGTTCAGGCTGGTAATGCTAGGGCCAGTGAAGATGATGTAGTTTTTTCCAGACGCATTCTGACAGAGGCTCTTAGCCACCATACTGTGGAGCTGGGGCTTGTTCTTCAAAGCTTCCAGTCCGTCAGCACCTCCTTCTTTTAGATGGACATAAATCTTAAACGGAGCAAGTAGAAACAAGAAGACAAGTCAAGGTGGTTAGAAAGGGTCAGGCAGGAGCACTGAAGTTGCCCAAACCCCTTGTTTGGCTTTCACTGGAGAGGAGCTGAAAAATTAAGGCAATAGATACATTTTAAATGGGTAACTCCTAATACACCCTTATCATGACCATTGCCTTTAAATGGGGCATCTTTGGAATTTTCTGTTGGGGCAATTATTGGGAAATACAGAACCATGCCTAAGATTAAGGACTGCTTGAGGCCACTGTTGCTATTGGGTAGCTGGAAAAGCATCTGTCTGGCAGTAAACCATCATTGCTAACGAAAATTGCATAGGCTACATCTAAGACTGGCATGATTTTCCGCAAATGCTTTTAACGGAAAAGTTTTCCATTAAAAGCATTTGCGGAAAAGAGCGTCTAGATTGGCACGGACGCTTTTCCGCAAAAGCACTTTTTGCAGAAAAGCGTCCGTGCCAATCTAGACGCGCTTTTCCGCAAAAAAGCCCCGATCACCATTTTCACGATCGGGGCTTTTTTGCAGAAAACAAGTCTGAGCTGTCTACACTGGCCCTTTTGCACAAAAGCTTTGCGCAAAGGGGACTTTTGCCCGAAAGGAAGCAGCATAGTATTTCTGCAAGAAGCACTGATTTCTTACAGTAAGAAGTCAGTGCTTTTGCAGAAATTCAAGCAGCCAGTGTAGACAGCTGGCAAGTTTTTCTGGAAAAGCGGCTGATTTTCCGGAAAAACTGGCCAGTCTAGACACATTGTATTGACCCCATGTAGACTTCATTGTCGGCAGAAAAGGGAGAAATTAGGACCTTCTCCAAAAATGTAGGTCCCCTCAGATGACCAGAAGGAACCTGTCCACTAGCTTTACTGTAATAGAGTTCAGTTTTATATTCTCTGGCAGCAGCCACTAAAAGATGACATGTCCACACTGATGCCAGCATGACACTTACTCCAGTACAAGCCAGCAGTGGTGCCCTTACGTACCAACCCTCCATTCTAACTAGGATCTTCAGGGATAGCTCTAATTCTCAGCATTTTGTACTTTAGAAGCCATCCATTGAAACAGGACTGAACCAGGGAGAGAGGTGCATTACACAGACTTTAACAATCTGAAGCGTCTAGCTCCTTTCTAGTTGACTGCAAACCTTACAGCTGTTGTATTATTGTCATAGCATCTTAAAGCAAAGAGCTGCCATTCTCCAGTCAATGTTCCTTCTGTCCTTCATAATACTCGCTCACCATCCACACAAGCCCAGTTAAGTGACTACGCCATGGCAGGAATGTGTGTCTCCCTGGTAAAATGAGATGCTGATGGCCTCAGTCCAATTGTGAATGGACAACTGGCCTGCTTGTTGAGAGGTGGAGGACTGAAATGGCTAAAAGGCCTGACTAAATGCTTCACTCTGGGAATGGGTTATAGGGCATATTAGTTGGGCACTAGGGGAAAGTGCACCCTTTTCATTTTGGAAATAGAGGATTTCCATTTTTTTATTCATATTACCTGAAAGAAGCTGCCCTTGGCTCTGGTTGCTCACTCAAACCAAACATGCCAAGTCCAAGACAAATAATTTAGCAATCCTGTCCCCCGGCTCATCTGCCCACCCTGTTGTTGGATCCACTTACTTTCCCCAAAGCCAAAATATATATACAACCTGGGTAAGCGTCCAGACCTTTAGGTTCTGATGATCCAAAAGGAGTGGCTTCCAGAGTTGAAGATCTACGTAGGGTTTGTGAGCAAGGCACGAGAAGTCGTTCTTCCGCTCTCATCTGCACTGATTAGGCCTCAATTGGAGTATTGTGTCCCGTTCTGGGCACCACATTTCAGGAAAGATGTGGAGAAATTGGAGAGGGTCCAGAGAAGAGCAACAAGAATGATTAAAGGTCTAGAGAACACGACCTATGAGGGAAGACTGAAGGAATTGGGCTTGTTTAGCTTAGAAAGGAGAAGAACGAGAGGAGACATGATAGCGGTTTTCAAGTATCTAAAAGGTGCCACAAGGAGGAGGAAGAAAATGTGTTCTCCTTGGCCTCTGATGATAGGACAAGAAGCATTGGGTTTAAATTGCAGTATGGGAGGTTTAGGCTGGACATTAGGAAAAACTTCCCACCTCTCACGGTGGTTAAACACTGGAATAAATTGCCTAGGGAGGTTGTGGAATCTCCATCTCTGGAGATATTTAAAAGCAGGTTAGACAGACACCTATCAGGGATGGTGTGACAGGACAAGCTCTTATTCTATCACATGAAAGCCCTGTAATACAAATAACTACAATTACAACGCAGAAAAGCAGCTCATCTGAGTTTCAGTACCTCTAGTCTGGAGTCAAACAATTCTTTTTCCTCCTCTTTTAATCTTTGACGGACTCATTTCTTCCACAATAAGCACTTAAATCGGAGCTCAAATTCAGAACCAACACAAGGGACTAAATGATTTCATAGATGGGAAATGAGTGACGTTTCAGGTGGCCATTAATGAAAGTGAAATACTGTTTTGCAAGTGAACGGTCTGTCAGTGAATGAAATGAAATGGGAAACCATTGAAGTCTGAGGGTGGGTGGAAGGGGGAGATTGCGCATGGCAAACTCAGGGAACAGATTTAAATCCCATAAAACTTGAATGCAGAATAGACTATTAGTCAGTGTATTGTGGAATAACATAGCCCTAGGATGCCAGAGCAATATGCTGATCTGGTACAAAAACCAACTCCACCCCTTCCAAAAAAGCCCAGTCACATTCTGGACATGCTGGGTTTGCATGTTGAAGTAATTGGAAAAGACAGCATAGGAATTCACTCACCTGCCTGTCACCAGGGGCTTGTCTATATTTGGAATGCGACTGCTGCCACTGCCTATACTGAAGTGCTACAGTGGCCTACTGCCTACCCTGATGGGAAGGGGTTATTTTGGCTAGGTAATCCACCTCCCTGAGAGGCAGTAGCTAGGTTCAGGGAAGAATTCTTCTCTGGGTTTGTCACACCCCTGCATGACGTAGCTGAATCAACAACTTTTTCCATGTAGACCAGGCATGTCCAAAGTCCGGCCCGCGGGCCAAATGCGGCCCGCGGTCGGATTTAATATGGCCCCCCCGCTTCTCCCAGCTCCCCGGTGCTTTTTTTAACTGGCGCGCACAGCGTGCCGCTTCAGGCCACCGCCGCCGCGGTCCCAAACCCTGCCCCTGCACTCTGCTTTGGGGCTGAGAGTGCGGGGACAGCCCCCGCTTCCTCCCCCTCTCCTGGCTCCCCGGCCCTAAAGTCCACCATGTAGGGCACGTCCACAGCCCTGCTCCCCTGCTTGGCTACGGGTTCGCCCTGCCCCCGGGCCGCCGTGAGGCCAGCGTGCCCTGCGCTCTCCGCCCGCCTCTGACCCTGCAAGCCCTCTACCTTGGGGCTGAGAGTGCAGTGACGGACTCCGCAGCTGCTGAGATCAGGGACGGACTCCGCAGCTGCTCAAGCTCAGTATCTGTGATTGGCCCTGTGCACTGTCAGCTTCCTGGCGGGCTCAGGCACGTGGAGCTGCGAACATTAGAGACTTCGCCACAAACGGGCTCCGGCACGTGGAGCTCATCATTAGAGACTTCGCCACAAACAGCCACAAAGGCAAGAGAATTCTTGTTGGGCAGTGTATTAGTGCACTGTATTACCTGGGCAGTATATTAAACCTCTGGCACTGCGCTCACATGATCCCTTCCCCTTCTGGTCAATTTAAAAAAATGGCGACTGTAAATAAGAGAAGGAAAGTTGACAGTGAGGGCCGCCGCTTCCAGGACAGGTGGAAAGTGGAATATTTCTTCACTGAAATAGAGAATCACTGTGTTTGTCTGATATGCCAAGAGACTGTGGCTGTTTATAAGGAATTTAATGTCAAGAGACACTACCAGTCGAGACATAGCACATACGACAAGCTTACAGGGCACGACCGCAGTGAAAAGTTGAAGCAACTTGAAGCTGTTTTAATGTCACAACAGAAATTTTTCATAAGAGCCCGTGAGTCAAATGAAAATGCCACAAGGGCGAGCTATGAGGTGGCAACGTTAATTGCTAAAAATTGCAAATCTTTTGCTGAGGGTGACTTTATCAAAGAATGCGTTATGAAAATGGTTGAGAATATCTGTCCCGAGAAGAAGCAAGAGTTTGCCAACATTTGCCTGGCTCGTAACACTGTAGCACGGAGAATTGAAGAGATTTCATCAGATATTAAGAGACAGTTGACATCCAAAGGAGTGGATTTTGACTTCTTTTCAATAGCCTGTGATGAAAGCACGGACCTATCTGACACAGCTCAGTTGCTGATTTTTATGAGAGGGGTGGACGATGAAATGAATGTGACTGAAGAGCTACTTGACCTCCAGAGCCTTACGGACCAAACAAGAGGAAAAGATTTATTTGTTTCTGTTAGTTCCGCCATAGATGACATGAAACTGCCTTGGAACAAAGTTACTGGGATTATTACTGATGGGGCACCTGCCATGGTTGGTGAACGAAGTGGATTATCAACCCTAATCTGTAACAAGGTGATCGAAGAAGGAGGCAAAGCTATTAAACTCCATTGTATCATTCATCAACAAGTTCTCTGTGCTAAACATCTCAAATATGATCATGTTATGAAACCGGTGCTAAAGACTATTAATTTTATTCGCTCTAAAGCCCTGTGCCACCGCCAGTTTAAACAGTTTCTACTGGACATCCAGGCTGAATACGAAGATGTTTTATATCACAACGATGTAAGATGGCTCAGTCGGGGGTCTGCACTGCAGCGTTTCTACTCTCTCAGAAAGGAAATCGGAGAATTCTTGGAAACAAAGGGACAACCAATGCGAGAACTATCTGATCCTATTTGGCTGGCTGATTTGGGGTTTCTAGTTGACATAACAAAGCATCTGAATGTACTGAACACGAGTCTTCAGGGGAAAGATGCAGCGGTGAACCAGCTTTATTCACACCTCAAAGCCTTTGGGACAAAGCTGCAACTTTTCATAAGGCAGTTGTCAC